GGCATTGTGTTGTGTCCATCTATACCTAAAAATAAATATTAAAAAAAAAAAAAACTATCCAGGCTTGGAGGTGCACTCCTGTAGACTTGGGAGTGCTAAGGCAGGAGGACTGCAAATTTGCAACCAGCCTCAGCAACTTAGGGAGACCCTGTCTCAATAAAAGGGGCTGGGGATGTAGCTCAGTATTAAAGCATCACTGGGGTCAATCCCCACTACTTAAAGACCAACAAAAAGCTGGAAAAACAAGTCAGCATGATAAAAGACATCTGGAAATATACAACTCAAGACTCATCCAAAATATTATAAAGAGTTTCTACAAATCAATAAGGACAGGACAATACAATGGAAAAGTCAGCAAAAAGACTTAAGTGAGCACTTCACAAAAGAAGAAATGCAGATGGCTACTAAACACATAACAAGGTATTCAACATCATTACTGATTGGAAAAATGAAAAATGTTAACCAAAATTGATACCACTATACTCCCATGAAATTACCAACAATTGGGCTGGGGATGTAGCTCAAGGGGTAGCGCGCTCGCCTGGCATGCATTTGGCCCGGGTTCGATCCTCAGCACCACATACAAACAAAGATGTTGTGTCTGCCGAAAACTAAAAAATAAATATAAAAATTTTCTCTCTCTCTCTCTCTCAAAAAAAAAAAAAGAAATTACCAACAATGATAAAATCTGATAATACCAAGTGTTGACAAAGTTGTGGAACAATAGAAAATCTCATGTGCTCTAACTGGAACAGTGAGATGGTAAAACCTTGTTGAAGGTATGCATTCCTCTTTTCCGCCCCCAGTACTGGAAATTTAACCCAGGGAGTTCTACCGATAAGGTATACCTCCAACCTTTTGATTTTACATTTTGAGACACAATCTCACTAAGTTGCCAAGGCTAACCTTGAACTTGCTATCCTCCTGCCTTAGCCTCCTGAGAGGTTGGGACCTGTAGCTGAATCTCGTTAACCAGTATGCTACACATAGTCCCTAAGACAAATCTGTCATTTTGTTGTAAGAGAGTCTGGGTCAAGAGCAGGTTAACTCAGTAGACCTGGGTTGCTCTAACCCTGCACATTTCGAAGCAAGCCCGTCCCAGGAACTCTGGCCCATGACTGGTTCCTGGGAGGTATAACTCTGGAGCCCTTGGAATATTCTTTAAGGCAGGTGTCTTACTGAGGCCTTGAGTCATGCCCGATGCCAAGGCTTGGTGGAGCATCCCTGGTTGGCAAGCCTCGTGTGTTGACAGGTAGTCACACAATATTGCTGGGAGAATGAAGTGTGCCCTGTGGGAGTCCACTGGGAGTACTCTGAAATATAGTAGCAAAACCCGGAACTGTCCCCAGTAGGAGTATGGTGACATGGACCTACACATTTGCTGGCTGAGCACCATCCCTGTGCCAGGAATTGTGCTGCGTGCTGGCAGGGGGCAGGCAAGAAGAAAGCCCAGGCATACACTCTCCTCTGTTTCTAGGCAAATGGGGAGACATACTGTGAGCCCCATGTCAACAAGATGAGCACAGAGTGCCAAGTGAGGCGGCCTCCACACGGGAGCAAAGCACTGGGCTAGCAGAGGATGCCAAGGCACCACAGGTCACACTGTGCTCGACCCATTCATACAAGATGTCTGCTGCCTGCACACGGCAACTGGCAGTTGCCAAAGCTGGAGGGAGGTGGAGGATGGGAATGTTTCAAGATGTGGAGTCCTGTTTGTGATGATGAAAATGTTCTGGAACTAGTGGTTGTGACCACACAACTTTACTATGAATAGACTAAAAATTACTGAATTGTGCACCATAAAAAGGTGAACTTGGGCTAGGCATGGTGGCAATCCCAGCAACTTCAAAGGCCCAAGGAAGATTGCCAAGTTCAAAGCCAGCCTCAGCAAACTAGACTCTGTATCAAAATAAAAGAGAGAGCTGGGCATGGTGGCACATGCTTATAATCCCAGTGGCTGGGGAAATTGAGGAAGGAAGATTGCAGGTTGAGTCAGCCTCAGCAACTTGGCAAGACCCTGTCTCAAAAAATGAAGCTCTGGGATGGCTCAGTGATTAAGTAATCCTGGGTTCAATCCCTGGTACCAAAAATTAATTAACAAAAAATAAAAGGGCGAATCTTACATTAATTCTCAGTTGAAAAATTGTTGAGAAAAAAAATCTTGGAGCTGGGTGTGATGATGCATGCCTGTGATCCCAGCAGCTCAGGAGGCTGAGGCAGGAGGGTAAGAGTTCAAATCCAGCCAGTTAGGATTCTTTAAGCATTTCAGAAAGGATTGTCTAGATAAGGAGACACTAAGCAATTTAGTGAGATCCTGTCTCAAAAAATAAAAAGGGCTGGGGATGTGTGCTCAAGTTCAATCTCGGTATGTGGGAGGAAAAAAAAAAAAACTTGGCTAAAAACCACACACATCTGCCATCTTTTCATGCATGCACTTGGGCAGTTCTGCTTCAGCCAGGGTCAGAAGGCTGGCAGAACCTTTGCTGGGTCCTACTCACCAGCACACAGGTAGACAAGTAAGACTGACTGCACCTTAATGCTGAACTGAAGCAAGGGTCTGGGGAGGGCTTTCAAGTTTCACTGGTGTGGAGAGGCCTCACTAGGTGACGTGGCAGAATGAACCAGTGAACCACATGCACAGACCAGTGTCAGAGGTGAGGTAAGCCAAGAGGTGGGCCTCCTGAGGTGGGAAGGATGGGAGGTTTAAGCAAGTTTAAGCCACCCAACTCTGACAACATCCCTCTTGATCTGGGTTAGTGATCTGAGTGGGAAAAGGCAGGGTGTGGCAGCAATGGTCCAGGAAGACAGAAGGGTTGTCAATAATGCAGCAGGGTTTTTGAACTGGGTAAGGCTGATGTGGAGGTTGGGTTGAGGTCTGGACGTGGACTCCCTTTGTGGCCAGGGATTGGGATGTTAGATTCTTGGCTCATGACTGGCACACAGGAAGCATGGCAGGATCAACATGGGTAACATTTTCCCCATTTAGACCTACTCCGTTGGTACTATGGGGCTGACACCTGCCTCACAAGGTGACTAGGGGTACAAAAGCACCTATGTGTCTATGTGCAAATGATCCCCGACTTCCAATGAGTCAACTTTTGATCTTTTTGACTCTTAAGATGGTACAAGTGGCATGCACTCAGTACAAACTGTACTTTGAGCTGCGTCACTGGGTAGACACATCTGGACATAATCAAAAGTGGAGACAAGGTTCTGCTTCTCACAGTACATGTTCTAGTATACAGGCCATTAATAATTACTAAGCGCTTAACTACCTACAGCCCCTGTCCTCAGCTCCTTGGATTCATTAACCCACTTCATTCTGGCAAGGTAGCAGAGGTGAAATAGCCCAGTCAGTGGCAGGACTCTGGCAGCCCATGTTCAGTGTGCACACAGGTCCCGATGTCACTGGTTATAACAACAAACACTAAGAAGCAAACACACAAAGAGCTGGGGAACCCAGGAGAAACTACATACATCAGTGAAGATCTCTTCAAAGGGGACACTAAGCTGAGACCTGACAAAGAGCCTCCCATTTGGGACCACCTATCTTGTCCTCAAGGAGGTGGGGCATTTATGAGGCTGGCTGCTGGCCCCCCTACTGGGTACCCAGTGTGGACTAAGTGCCCATCTCCAAGATGGGGCCACATGAGGTAGCCCCCTGCAGCTCAGACCCAGGACATGCAGGACTCTCTCATCAGAGGACTTCACTCCTGTGGGCCACCAGATTCCAGGGTCCCAAACCCTACTGTGATACCAAGGACTTAGACTTGGGCTGAGAGCACCATCAGGGCCCACAGCTCCTTGGCTGCTACCATTCCAGGCTAGAAGAACCCTCACCCCCATGGGGCTCCAGAAAGGAGTGTCTAGATAAGAGACAAGCAAGTCTTTTCTGCAAACAGTTGCCTGCCCACCTTCCTGCATGTCCAGCCCCGACTATCCCCTCAGAAAAACACTCGGACACTTAAGAGATTTAGTGAAGCTGCCTGATTGACAACACAGAGGGCCAAAGAAAGTCAGCTGCGTCTTTATTGCTTTAGAAGGCTTGAGGCTCAAGAGCTCTTAGTGGGGCGCGTCCGCTTCCTCTTCACCATCACAGGCTTCTGGCTGCGCAGGATGGCACTGGCTCTGCGGATGGCAGCCTGAGGGCAAGGGCAGTGTGGGGTTCAGCTAACGGGCTCGGGCCACCCCAAATGCCTGCCTCCCAGGTCCACGCGGTGGTGGTGGTGGGGTGTCCCTGGGGTGGAGCTCAAAGGAAAGGTCCCTGACCTTCCCAGCCCATGCCTCCTCCCTTTACCCAGAGGCCCTCTGAACACTCACCATACGCAGGTCCGGGCGGTACTTGTTCTTGCGAATCATGTGCCTGATGCTGCTGAGTGTGGCCCGTGCATTCTTATTGATGGTGGTCCGGACATAATTAGTAGCTGGCTTTCGCTGGCCTGGTGAGGGAGTCTGTGGGTCAGTTCAACTGCCTAGGCCCTAGTGTGCCTCCCAGGTAAGAGGATACAATCTCACCCCAAGAGTCAAAGCACCCTTGGCTGTGAGTCTGAGCAAACTATTGCCCAGCCATCCCCCCAGCCTCCTGGACCAGACCAGCAGACAGCCTGCCTATCCACGAGACACTCAGGCCAAGGGCCTCACAGTGGTCTGAAATACAACAGAGGCAACAGGATACGGATTCTCAAGGCCCCATGTAGCAGAAATAGCTGTTCCTAAGCTAGACCCCATAACCACAATATCCCAGTGTTCCAGGGCCCAGGCTATGCAGTCTGGAACAATATTGAAGGAGCAAGAGTGTTTAGCATGGTAGGACCCAGATGCCAAGAAAAGCCAAAACCAAGTCTGGGCTTCGTTATCTGGCATCAAAAAGATCTTCAAAATTCTTCAAAGCTCTCCCAATACCGTTCATGTGAAAATGTCCTTTTCTTGTATCAGGAAGCAGCCATCCATCAGGACATAGTTAGAACTAACAAGCCTAGCCAGAATCATGCTCCCGATACTGGGACATAAACAGCTTCCCCAAGACACCAGGCTGTCACCATGTGGATTTTTAGCCCCCAAAAGGCACTCATGTGTTCAACAATTCAAGAGAGGAATCAAAAGTTCTTAAGATGTATGGCTCCAGAATGGTCCTCAGGAGAACTCTGAAGTCCACTAGGGAAATCAACTGGTGACTCCTTGGGCTGCGATGCTCCCGAGAAGAGACACTATCTCCCTCCAGGATGGGCAGGAGTCACTGAGGTCACCAGGCATTGAGCCAGAACAGAAGCCAGTCCCACTGAGAACCCAAGGAAAACTCCTTATCTTAAAAACCTCAGGTGGAGGTGGGTATCCCACAGCAGATCCCTGCCTCCCTTGACCTCCCACAAGTACTCTGGGCAAAACAAAACAAGCCTATCTGCCTGAGAGCACAGTTTAGCAGGGTGGGCTCTTCAGGACCCCTTCTCTTTAGCTCAGCCAGCAGAACTCTGGGATAGATGTCAAACTGATACTTGGACCCAGCGTATCCTCTCTACAGGGAAAGAGACAGTTCCTTATTTGTCTCAATTTTCACATCAGTGAGACCAAGACATCACCCCACCTGAATTGTCTTGAGGACATCTGAAAATGTCACACAACTGCACAACCCAGCAACTGAACCGTCTCAACAACCCTCTGAAGCTCGGGTTCTGTTAGTTTCTCTTTACAGGTAAAGAAACAAGATGTGACCTAGCCAGCTCAGATGGGGCAGAGGGAAGGGGCTTCCAGGCACGCTCCATTCCCCGGAAGAACCCGTCCGCTGGCCCGAGGGAACCCAGTTCCCAGCCCGGGAAAGGGCCCCTATCCGACGACGCTCACCAGATCTGCGCTTCATGACCACCACTACGCCTTTGCCGTCGGCCGCGGGCTCCACGCCCACAGTCTTGCGGTGAATCAGCCCGTTGTAGCGGAAGGAGTTGCGGGCCTTCAGGTTATTGGGCTCCTGGGAAAGGTGCAGGGAATGTCACTGCCGCCAGAGACACGCGGAGGCGGCGCCCCCAACCCTCTCGCGGTGGCCAGCCGCCCCGGCCCACTCACGGTGCTGTACGTCTGCTTATTCCTCTTGATCAGGAAGCTGGAGCAGTTCCGCACGACCATCCACTGCAGGTGCGCCGACATGGTGCAGGCTGCCAAGAAAGCGGGCACGAGCGAGGCGTCAGCCCGAGCAGCAGGCCGGCGCTGGCGCACCGCGCCTCGTCGGCACAGGGACCCTGACCCACGTGCCCCCGGGGCAGGCAGAAGCCTCCGTCGGGAGGGGCTGATGACCCCAGGAGGCGGACCGAACGGGGCGGCCGCGTCTGTAGGGACCGGGGAGGGGAAGAACGTGACTCCACAACTACGGGTGACAGAGGTGGGGCCCGCCAAAGACCCCAGGTGCAAAGAGGGGCCAGGCCGGGCAGCTCACACCCCACGGCTAGCGAGAGATGGCGGCCGCGCCGGGTAAGGGGGGGGAAGGAGAGCGCACGCTCACCTCCTCTCGCTACGACGACCGGAGACGGAAAGAGGCACGCATGGGGCGGAGCCACGCCTTTAATACCGCATACGCATTTCCGCTTCCCCTCCGAGCGCGTACCAGAAGTCGCTGGCCTCCGCTTCCTCCCTCCTTTCGGCCCCGCCTCCGAGGCGGCTCCGGGGCTTTCGGCTATATCCGCCAACAGTCGCGTACCGCTCGGGAGCCTTCGGAAATCCTCGGGTAAAAAAGAGGAGGCGTGTTCTCGACCGTGGAAAGCCTCGGTTCCGTGGTCGCTCGGAAATTTTCGGAACTCTACGGTGGATTCCGAGTGGAACCAATTCGAGAAACCTCGAGACCTATTTCTCAAAGACATCTCCAGTATTGCTCACCCAGCGCTTGGCACTGTGTGCGGCACATAGTGGGCAATAAATAAACTCTTGTGAATTTGAAAGAGTGTGTGATTTAAACATAACCCTGGCGTCTTCGGATTCTTCCGCTCTTCTTCGTAGGACCTCGACTATTCCCGATGGGGACACTGAGCCTCGCTCGGGCATTTTCGGAATGTCCTAAGTTGCTCTGAAGGGTCAGCCAGCTGCTTTTTACCCCAGTCACCCAAGCATGGTTCGGATCTTTTCAGAAACACTCGGTTTCCATTCGGCAACGTTCGGAAGCCTTCGTTTAATCCTTTAGTCCCTCCTAGCAAATGTACCCCAATCTTCTTGAAATCTAAAATTGCTACCTGGAGTTTGGGGAGAACCTAGACATAACTGTCTCTCAGACTGTCACCCCAGGGGAGAGTGAATTTCCTCTAAGGACTAGTTTGTTTGAAGGAAGGGAGCTTTACCTGTGACTGTGTCTGGTTCCCTTTAGTATTCCAGGGCGGTTCACCTAGGCTCTTGCTTGTGCCTCAATGCCTCCGCCCTAGTTACCCGCATTGGCTCCTTGGAAGCGCGTGGACAGAGTCAGGCTGGGGAGAGGAGCCCTACCAGATGGAGCCCTACCAGATGGAGCCCTACCAGATGTGTGTCCTCAGCTTCCCTAGCTAGGCCTGGCCTGGGGGGAGCCCCTTAGGAGACACCTACTAAAGACCCCAGGAGTGAAAGTGCCCGTGCCACCTCTATGGCTGCACCTTGACTCGGTTTCTCTGGGAGCTCCTTGAGGGCGGGACCCTGTCCTGTCCACATCTGTGCCCTTGGCTTCATCCTCCACCGGTAATAAGCCCTGACCTTCGGGCTTGTCCTGCTATGTCCATTAGCACACTCTAGGTCTGATGGATATCAGTCCTTCCAGAGAGGGAGTTCCATCTTTGCGCCTGGGGAAGTCTAGACAAAGGGACTGGGGCGGTGTCCCTCAGTGTAGGCCGATGCTAGCATGCATGAGGCCTGAGGGTTTGATCCCCAGCACCAAAAAAGGAAAGTGAGAGAAAGCCTCCGCCCTTTCCTCCCTTATGGAGGTTCATTTTCTGCATCCCAGAGCTCCTTGGAGTCCGGGGGCCTTAACTGCTCTTGTTTCTGACCCCGGCAGTGTCCACCATGGGGATGTGGGCACTGCAGAGAACAACGCCCTGCTGTCTCCATCGTGGCACCCTGAAGTTCCACCAGGAATTTGCCTGGCGCTCCATGACCTATGGCACCCTGACCAGCCATATCCGCACCAGCACAGGCCCCTGAGGGTCGGGCTGCACAGGCCCTCAGTCAGGCCCCGGGC